TCTTTAGGGGCACCAAAACAACTCCCAGCCGTCTGCAAAAATCTTACTTGTTATTGTTGACTGTTTCCAAGAAAAAGGCAAGAACATTTGTTGGCTCTTTCGAAAGGTTCTTTTCGCTTATTAAATTTTTCTCGGCAAGACAAGCCCAAGATATCGGCTTTTTGACTACTTCTTTTGCAGGCAATATAAAAATCTATAGTACCTAAAATAATAGAAATTACGAAACTTCATCTCAGATTCTTGAGAAAGTCAATATATTCCTTCATTATTTGGTTTATTATATTTCATTTGAATTCTATTATTAATTCCATGAATTATAATATAATAAAAAAAAAACAAATAAAATTAAATTAAAAACACTTTTGATCCCCAATCGCCCATCCATTAAAACGCCAGGTTGAATATTTTTAGTGGCTTTGTCCTTTATATAATACTCATACTTTTTGTCTGTGTATGTGTGTGTGTATGACAGAGACAGAGTGGTAGAGACTGTGACAGAGGCATGGCACGACTATTACAATTTGCATTTTATCCCAATGCCTACGAATAGTTTTTATCTTGTTGCTTCTTATCTACGCGATATTAGCATGAATAATTAATGGTTCTGCCATATTTTCATCTGGATTTGATTTTGTTTTTGTTTTTTAGTTATTCAGATTTCATCAAACACATGCAACAGTTTCATTGCAAGTTATGTAGGTCACTTCAGAAATTGAGTTAGCTATGCAAATTGTTGAAGAGTTCATTTGTTGCATAGAGAGCAGTGGAAAAATATATATGTATGTACAGTTATGCCCTTGGCTGATATCAGTTGGGCAGCGAGAAGCGCAGGGAGAAGCTCAAAGTGATTTGTCAAGCGATAGTGAGTAGGAATTTGTTTGAATACCCTTTGAATTGGATTCCATCGCTAAATAGCTCCATCTAAGCGCAATTTACAAAAAAAATATGCAACTGTTAATATTGTTTTCCTGAGCTAATTTTGTATAGATTTATCTGTTCTTTTCTTCCCTTTCTCATTATGCTTTTCTACAAATATACAAATATTATTCTGAGATTATCTAACACATCTCTGAGCATTTCGAATTGGGAGTATTATCTTTACTATGTGAAGCGGCTGCTTAACTTCTTGTTCTGCCTTTTGCGACGATCTTGTTAATGTTGTTTTAGTTTTGCGTTTATTAGCACGTCACTTCACTATTTTTCTCTCTCTCTTTCCCCTCTCCACTTAGTTAGTTAATTTTTTAACTTTACGAATTCCTTTCCCTCACTGCCCTTGTGCTTTCACTTTATGTTTCTCAATATTGCTTATCACGGTTCTCTCTTTGTTAACTCCTCGGCAAATACTTTCTTCAACAATTTACTTCCTCTTCATACCCGTACACTTCTCGCTGCCATTCCGTCCTTCAGCTTTAAGCCTCTTTTGTTAGCACGATAAATTCTTGACGATTAGTTAAATGCTTAGACAAATGTTGAAAAGTTGTTTCTTTTACAGTTTAACACATATGCATATATATAATTTACTTGTTTACGTTTCATAGAGTACACAATAAATTCGGTGGGCATTTAGTTAGCGTTGATTTGAATTTATGTTTAGCGAAAGTTTTCGTTTTTCAACTTTTTTATTTTGTTATTCTTTTAGCGTAAATCAAATTTAAAGTCGTCGCTTGGGACGTCACACGCAGCGTATGCGCGATGCAGATTGCGTATACGCCATGTTTTACATATATTTATATTATTTACTTTTGTTAAGGGCTTGGTAAAAGTTAGCGCTACTTCTGCGTGTGTGTATATGTGTGAGTGTATTTTGTTGTTATTGCTGTTGCTTTTTGTTGCGCACTTTACAAACTGCTGCAAATTAAAAGTTGGACCAAGCCAAACATATTTTTTTTACATTTATATTTCAGCTGCAGTCGAATCAACATTCAAGTTCGGCCCGTGCTGGCATGTATTCATGTATTATGTGTGTATGTGTGCGCGTGTGTATATGTGATTGTCTGCCAAATGATAAAGTGCACTTGAGAAATCTGTGAGTGAAGGTTAAACAAAGCGAAAGTCCTGGCCAGCACTGCGGCAGGCAGCTGCTCGCGAGCTCCAATTATAATTTGCGCATGTGAAAATAGTTAAGTGGGTGGGTATCTGTGTGTGTGTGTGTATGATAGATGAAGTATCTGGTATATAACTCTGCCGTATTTGACTTTAGAAGCGCTTGAGTTAGTTAGATAGATAGATTAATAGAAAAGACAGTAGGCAACCGCAGTGTAAATATTTGTTCTTAAACATTTCGCTTTAGATATTCTAAAAGAGAGTTACATAAATATATGCAATGTATATATAGATATTTATATATAGTATATTTTTATATGTATATAGAGTTTTACTAAATTCAGTAACATTGTAGGCTTAGTTAATAACAACAGTCAACATTTAACAGTCATTCCGATATGAGTTTCATTTGCATTTTGTGTGTTTTGGAAGAGATTTCTTTGTTTGTTTGCCAAGTCTAAAGTTAGTTAGATTCCTTTTGTTTTTTTGTTTTTGTTTTTGTTTTTGTTTTTAGTTTTTGTTTTTGATTTGATTTTTGATATAGTTGGCGCTCATTTGGAAAATATATATCTAGTTACTCAAAGGAGCTTAGTTAAATACACACTTAAAAATATAAATTTATTAAAACACATTCATCTATTTAAATACTTTAATATGTTAATGTTAGTTCTGCTGGATTATATACTTTAAGCATATGTCTTCATACTTTTTGGAAAAAAATTGACAGCACATTATTGAATTGAATTTAAATTTGTTTTTGGAACACATAGAAATATAATGCTATTTGTGTATGTATGTGTGAGCCTATCTCTCAGCTAATTCCAACTGCCACGCGTCTGTTTAACGCTGTTATCAGCCCCCAAAAAAAAAAAAAATTAGGTTTGCCTTCGGGCTATGCCAAGGCCAGACGCCCGAGCTGGTGATAAATGCTGCCGCGCTGCCTCGCTGCTGTCTGGGTCTAGCAGGCAATCCAATCAAAACATCCGCCATAAACAAAATACCACAATCGCAACTCGAGTCGGGGGCCTGACCGCGCGGCCCAAAACGCCAATGACTTGAGCACATGTGAGCAATGCGTCTCTAGCAAGCTTATAAGAGGTGGGCACGTAGTCGATGTTCCACAATTTAAATTAGCCTCAAGTTCGCCTTGCCTAATCTATGTGGATTCCGGGGAGATGTTGCTGTCAACGCCCACGTTGCCCGAAGTCAGCCTTGCCTTAAATTTACCACTTGCAAAGTCTCTGTTCATGTAAGTTGATAATAAATTGTAGCTGCTCTCAGTTTTATCTCTTTTATAATTAATTTTAGCTAACCAAAACTTGAGCTGGTTTTATTTTGTACCTTGAGCCAGGTCGCTAGCAAAACGAGGCTTGAGGTTTATTTTAAAATCACTTAGTTCGTCCTTTGTACATTCATCAAGGTCAGCTTGAGTTTAAGCAGATTGGAAGTTATCCCAAACATTCAGATAGTAAAATTTCGAATGCTTCATTTCAAAATTTATATTGATAGAGTTGAGGATACATATATAAATTTAATAGAGACTTTCTAGTTCATTTCTGCTAAAAGCTGTATATCTAAGCTAAGTTGATTTCAGTTTCAATATTCATCTCCAACTAGAGATGGAAAAATTTTTGAATCGAATGAATGAAATAATATAATTATTTAAGCTACGCTATTATTGATTTCAATTAATCGACGAAAAATAATCGAGACATCAAGGGCGCTCTGCTTATAATGAAAATACTCTAGAGACCGACTCGATTGTTTTTTGGAATAATCGATTATGGTTTCAATTAATCGCATTTTTTCATGCAATTGAATCGATAATGGAGGTAAAACAATCGATTTTTGTGTATCATATGTTCGTGCCATTACTAGCTCCAACTGACATCTCACATTTTAGCTTATCTGCTTCTTCTATCAAATTGAATCATATGTGAAAACAATCTATGACAGACATAATTCATATATTACTGTCAAAGTTCTAGCTTATTAGGGAATAGCTTTTCAGCACTTAGACGAGTCTCTTTATTTAATACACAAGCTAACGAAAGTTTGAGTAAACATTTTAAAAATGATGTCTGCACTTTTCCATTTTCTACTGTCACAGCTAATGCCAGTTGTTCGGCTTCGGGCTTATTCACCTAATGGCCGTTCGTAGCATTGCGATGTTATTAACACAAAGTTTAGAAAGCTAAATTCGCCTGTTTGCTCAATCCCCAGTTAATAAGAAAATAAGCAGACGCAATCTATTGCAGCACCTGCTAAAGGCAGTTGTTAACTTTGGCAAGAGCTTGAGTAACGAGCCCAAATGGCTTTGTGAAAGACGCAAATTTGTGAACAATTTGAGGCTCGGCACCTGCTCTTAGCCGATATGAGAAACCGTCCTCACATATACATACATATACTATATAGGTCCATAGCGCACACAAATTGGCTGTAACATATTTTATATAATTTGTTTTTGTTTTTTTTTTTTCCTCTTTTCCTTTTGAAATTTGGAATTTTTTCGACTCAACATCCATAATAATTTGTATATGTTTATAATACTCGTAAAAATGCCTTTAAAAAGAGAACATCAAAACAGTTTTAATGCAAGCTGAGCATTGGCTATATAATATATAAA